CGTTATGGATGAAAGTTGGCAGGGGGGTGGGAAGGTTAATTTTGTTTTGCTGAGCTAGGTCAGGCATGGAAGGAAAGGCATTCAAGTCAAAAGCTTTCCCTTCCAAACTTGGGACATTTTTATTCATCTTGCAGACCGGGAGTTTCGCATGCTTTTAATTTACAACGCCTGAAAGCAAAATATAGCTTCTGGTCGTTCTGGCTCGTGAAATTAAGTTTGAATGTATTAGAAATCAGCATCAGTCTTCCCCAAAGACCACATATTTGCTAAACATCAATTCTGCTGGTTTTCAACTCCAAATATCCTTGGCGTATCCCTGTTTATCTGCAAAAGAATTCTTGACTTTGCAAATAAATTTTGTTTAGCTTTTCATACTTCGGATAGATGGCTGCCAATAAAAATCTCTTTGAATTTGATAGTTTAATTGAGTATACATAAGTCGAGAGAATCCAATTGATTTTTAAAAAATAGTTGAAATGCTTGTCACTATCTTGATTATTTTTTATATCTGCCACATAGATTAAGTCAGTACCCATCTGTTTGAGAAACAGATCTTAGCAAGTATATTTACGTTAAATTCAGGAGCACTGAATCATCTGTGGGTGAGATGGAAGCCGAAAGCTCTGGGGCAAAAATACTTCTGTTTCCTTGTGTTCACTTTATAGAACAACATTTGTTTTAACTGTATAACTTCCACTGGACTGGGATTTCAGTTACAGGCACTTCAATATTGATCTGAAGGCTTTGAGTAGTCTTAAATGGGTTAATGAAGTACACTAATTGGCTTCTATTAACAGCAAAAAGATGTTTATGTATGGCCATAGCTTACATCAGGCATTCCTGGAGAGTGATGTTTCTTGCTGTACGTTTTTCCTGCAGAGATCCCACCTAACCACTCAGCTGCCAAAAGTGTGGTGGTTTCTGCCTTTTTTGGGGGAAAAAAATAAATAAAAGATGTTTGTGGACATAATCTAATCTAGGAATGCTCTGACAAAGTTGCTCATACATCCACTGTGAACTTGTGTGTAGTTGTAGAAACAAAAAGTGTTGGTTTAAGGATTTTTTCCTACCACTGCTAAGTGACTAACGAGTCGTCACTTTGAGTCCTAACGAAGATGTAATAACAGAAACAGGTTTGAGGGTTGAACGAGCAATATAGCGTGGCTTTTTGCTGGAGCTGGGGTTAGTTCTTATAATTATGGTGTATTTCTCTCTTGCTACACAACCATTTAACTGTGGTTTTTTTTTTTCCTCTCTAACTACTGTGTCTGAAGATGTCAGCAGCGGGAGTCAGCAGATCTGTGGGGTTTTCAGTGCCAGCCATTTTCAGTTTTGTGTATTTCAGGGCTTTCTTCTCTGAAATAGAAGATGTAGAGAATGTGAATTTGCAGCAGCACCGCTGAGGAGAATACGTGCCGAACCCCTTTTATTGACTTCTGATGGGCAAGATTTAGGTTTCATCTCTTCTCTCAAGGTAGCTTTAGAAAGAGCACAGTAGGTCTTTTTGACAGTCCGGCGCTTGCCCCACAGATGATCAGTCACGTTCTTTCATATGTGGCAAACTTTGAAGGGTCAGGGTACTCCTTTAGCTACTTCTGAAGCTTCTAGCACCGTCCTGTCTGAGGGCAAGTAGCCCCGAGCACTTGAATATTGAAGGCGATCTAATTATGGGAGTGATGGTTACACGAGTGCAATGAAAGAAGCAAAAAAACCTGTTTGGTGGCTCAAAAGGAGAAGCCCGTTGCCTAATGAAGAGAGGGGAGAGGCAGGAGGAACGGGGGCTCCGGGAGGGGATATTAGACTTGTTGCTGAAACGGAGGGGGAATTGGGAAGGTTTGGCAGCTCAGAAGGGGATTTCCATTAGGGGGCACATCGTTTTTCTAACACAGGGAAAGAGCTAAGAAATTTGAGGGTCAGAACAGTCTATTCTAGAATTTGTAGCACAGTTTTAAGGAAGGTAACGTTAGATCTTCCGCTGTAATTTTGCCATTTTTACAGCACACAAAATAAATTGTCCTTTGTGCTGCTCTGTGTAAGCTTTAGTTTCTAGCGTTGTGGATAATAACGATAAATCTTTGTGGATTACTCTTCAGGTTTCTAGTTATATACTAATTTGTGTATTTCTAGAGTAACAAATTGTGCTTTTTTTTTTGCTCTTTAAATTTTTATTTTTTTTTAATGCCTGCTTTTGTAGTACTTAGTTAGCATTCAGGTTGTGTGTTTGAGTAGGTGAGTTCAGACTGTCCTGGGTTTTTTTTTGCCTTGTGCCTTCGAGTGATAATTCGGCAAGACGGAATTATCTATGTCAGCGTGATGCTACAAACACACCTATATTCAGAGTGAAGGAAGGAGGTAAATATTTTCCTCGACTAATTACCTCTTCAACGTGAGAGTGGGAGCTTTTGCTGAGAAGGTGGTTTTCATTCATGTGTGGTTTTAGTCCAGTTTTGGTCTTAATTTAGGTCTTTACCGCATAGGATGAAGACCGATCCATGTGCATGTGTTAAAATCTGACCTTCGGTTTGCTCTCTGCATTCACTAATGTGCATTAAAATATTTTAATATATGGCTTTCTAGGCTCCAGATCAATAAACCAATGGGTCTGAAATGACAGAGTGCTACGATATTCCTCTGTAATTTAAACATGATTAGCTGATGAAGGTTATGATCAATATGCTGGGGAAAGATAAATTAATTGATATCATCCTTTCAGGATGATAAGAGGCCTATTGGAGGTGGGATGTAACTAATGAAGCTGCTTCTTCATATATAGGAGCCATTTTTTATACAATGTATTCTCACTAAATCATGGTTGTGCCGTCATTCGTTTACATGAAAAACATAAGCCACAGACCAGGTTGTTATTAAAATTCCATTCATTTGAGAAGAAATCGTATGCTTACCCTGCTAAACAATATCTCTGTCTCCTTATAATGTACTGAGGAAAAAAATAATCTTGGAATTTACATAAAACCTCTTTATGTTTTCTGAACAAGACAGATGGAATGCCGTTAGTCTAATTACATCACGTTTCTGAGTGACTTTTTAAGTAGATGCCAATTAAGTGTTGCCGTTCTGTTAAAATGATTAGTTTTGGTGGAGAAAGTCCAAGGGACTGTGGGCTCCTTCCCACAAGTTTCATAAAGGGCTTCACTTTGTGAAGATTGCTGCGTGTGAGGAAGCTGAATTTAGTGAGTAGTATTTTTGATTAGCCACGACACTGGTCTCTCTTTCTGAAGACTGATGAAATTTTTACACGACACTGGTCTCTCTTTCTGAAGACTGAAATTTTTGATTTGTGACCCAAAAGGTGGGCAACAAATATAGTGTAAAGAATTCTAATTTTTTAGGCATTTATGACCTAAAAAGAGCTCTTTCCAAAGCTGAATAGCGGAATGAACTGAAATTCCAGTTTATCATGAAAAATTACTGAAATAGTTGGGCTTTTTAAAGTTGAAGAATTATAGCAGAGGTGTGGAAGTTGCTGCATTTCAGATCAGCTCTCTTTCAATTTTTTTAGTATAAGTCTGCTGAGCTGTATAGAGATGTTAATGACGCTGGTCCTTGTCTCCATTTCCTAAATGCTACTTTTCTTTACATGTTGTAGAAAACGTCTTAATAAATTACAAAATGAATTTGTCATTTTTCCAGCTGTGCTAGTGCTGCTAACTAACTGAAGCTGTACTAGGAATCATGATACGGCTTCTTTCCGTAATGAATTTGAATGAGATGTGATGTGTGGTACCACTATTCCAGCTATTCTATGTCAAACCCTTTATCAGTTTTATTGTGGTGGTTATTGTTTGTTTCAAGCTCTTTAAACTTGTGATTTCAAAAACTGATTGGTCTGATGCAGTGCCTGGTAGTAAAGAAAAGGCCACCTTATTCCTCAGCACACCTTGTAAACTAACCCTGCTTGGATTGGGAGTGATAACTTTCCTAATGGACCTGGGGAGGCCCCATCTGGAGCACTGGGTCCAGTTCTGGGCTCCCCAGTTCAAGAAGGACAGGGAACTGCTGGAGAGGGTAGAGCAGAGGCTACAAAGATGATGAGGGGCCTGGAGTCATCTCTCTTATGAGGAGAGGCTGAGGGACTTGGGTCTTTTTAGTCTGGAGAAGAGAAGGCTGAGGGGGGATCTGATCAATGCTGATAAATACTTAAAGGGAGGGTGTCAAGAGGATGGGGCTGGTCTTTTTTCAGTGGTGCCCAGGGACAGGACAAGAGGAAATGGGCACAAACTTGAATAGAAGAAGTTCCACCTCAACATGAGGAGGACCTTCTTTGGTGTGAGGGTGGCAGAGCCCTGGCAGAGGCTGCCCAGGGAGGTGGTGGAGTCTCCTTCTCTGGAGACATTCAAACCCACCTGGACATGTTCCTGTGGGACCTGCTGTGGGTGGCCCTGCTTTGGCAGGGGGTTGGACTAGATGATCTCCAGAGGTCCCTTCCAACCCCATGGGATTCTGTGAACCTTCACTCTCTGATGTAGGACACCTTCCAGGATCATACCAGTAAATAGCACTGAGATGCACTTGAGCTAGATTACTTCCCACTTGTTAGTCAAGTGTGGCTTATATTTATCTTCTATCTGCAAGGAGAACATAGACCATCCTGAAGAAGAAAGGAAAATGTGTTCTACCATAAACTTTATTAGTGTGATTTTTTAAGTGTATAGTGGACTCGTTACAGTATTCTTGGTATTGTTTTTTGTAATTTGCACACCTGACTTTTCTCTTTCTTGCATGTTACTGGCTCTCTGGTCCTTATGTGGTGGAGTGAGAGTTCTGGGGTAATTTCTTCCGTGTGGAGAACAGAACCGATGTCTCACATGGAGCATATTGTGGAACAGCAGCATCTGTCATCTTAATTGGATATATTACAGTGAATTTTTGGAGCAAGCTTTGGCAATGGGAAACCCTATGTTATGTGTGTTTTTGACATACCATGTTTTCCGATGTGTGCCATAGCTTACCTGCCTGTGTCTTTTGTGTTTTTCATTTAGTTGCTCAGAAGATCGTGGCGACAAGGAAGAAACAGCAGCTGTCGATTGGACCCTGCAAATCTCTACCCAACTCTCCAAGCCACTCATCTGTGTGTTCTGCCCAGGTTTCTGCTGTACATATCAGCCAGGTACAGACTACAATCAATGCTGCCTTGAAAAAGTTGCTTTTCATCTAATGCATTTAATACCAGCGCTCTTTTGGCTGCGTGATAGGTAGCAGGCATTTTTATGAAAGGTATTGGCGATCTGCAGTTTGAAGCAATATTTTTTTCTTCTTCTTTCATTGGCTTGACTTTGTTTCAAGAAACTGCTGCAGTAAAATAGTTTGGCTTTAAAGGCACCTTTGATCGCCCTGATTTATGCCCAGCGGCCTGCTGTTCTGAGGAGATCAATTGTTACGATGGCAGGATTTGCTGGACTGTGTTTTAAAATTACCTCACTCTGGTTTGGGTTATTGTTCTCATGCAGTTGTGTGCTGGTGGGTCTCAGTGGTGAGAGTGCTCCAATTTTACATTTGTGAATGTTACAACGGTGCGCAATTTTTTTCTTCTTCTTTCATTGGCTTGACTTTGTTTCAAGAAACTGCTGCAGTAAAATAGTTTGGCTTTAAAGGCACCTTTGATCGCCCTGATTTATGCCCAGCGGCCTGCTGTTCTGAGGAGATCAATTGTTACGATGGCAGGATTTGCTGGACTGTGTTTTAAAATTACCTCACTCTGGTTTGGGTTATTGTTCTCATGCAGTTGTGTGCTGGTGGGTCTCAGTGGTGAGAGTGCTCCAATTTTACATTTGTGAGCACGGCGCGCAGCTGGAATTGCCTGTCTCTGTTCTGCTCAAATGATTCCCCTTTAATGGCACAGCCGTATCTGTTGCTATTGACTTCTAGATACTATGTGTAAAAACAAACCAAAATGCTACCTCAATGTATGGCAGGAAGGTTGGTGGCCACGATGGTATTTTTGGAAACATGTAGTTAATACCAACACGTTCTAACTCGCACATTTTTAACTCCCACACATTAATACACTCTCCTGTATTTCCCTTGTGACACTTTTCCTCGATATCTTTGTTTTCTAGTGTCCAGTGCTAATTTCTGTGTTCATTCACAGTTAGGGTGTGTGCTCTGCCATTCAGATCCAAGACCTTTGCAGCCAGGCAGATTGTGTTCCCTCTCCGTGCTCTCATTCTTGGTAGATGGACATACAAGGCCATCATATTAATTTATCTGTGGACCTTTCTTCCACTCTGAGAATGTCTGCTTCTTTGCAGAAAGCAGTGTAGTGAAGAAGTGTTCTATCTTTGAGGGCAAATTTGTTGGGTTTTTTGTTTTTTTTCTTTAATTTGACTTGTTAGTGTCTTCTGAAAACACTCTGTTTAGATTTATACAATAGGGTGTGTGCTTTACCATTCAGATCCAAGACCTTTGCAGCCAGGCTCCGTGCTCTCATTCTTGGCAGATGGACATACAAGGCCATCATATTGTTTTATCTGTGGACCTTTCTCCCACTCTGAGAATGTCTGCTTCTTTGCAGAAAGCAGTGTAGTGAAGAAGTGTTCTATCTTTGAGGGCAAATTTGTTGGGTTTTTTGTTTTTTTTCTTTAATTTGACTTGTTAGTGTCTTCTGAAAACACTCTGTTTAGATTTATACAACAGGATGAAGGCTGTAGTTCTTTGGTCATAGTGAGCGGGCTCGTTCTATGCCCTAGAGGAAACTCCCACCATTGAGTTAACTAAAGATGCAGATCTCAATTTGGTCTTAGAGTTCTTTGCTGTGAGATGTTCTGCCTTGAGCTGAGCCCAGATCCCAACCTCAGACTGTGACTCTCACTTTTGCTGATTACGCCAAAAGAAAATGCTGACGTTCAGATCCCCTTTTCTAAAGCAGGTCTTGAGGTGTGGGACTCTTCTGAAGAACCCTGCCACCTTCTGATGAAGTACAAATTCCTCATGAGGAAGAGGTCCTCCCCTTCTTTGTCATATGTGATGTTGACCAAGTTTCCTCAGCCACTCTCTCTCTCTGACCAGGTCATTGCCACAAGTGCTTGGAACTAACCCTCTGTATGAAATACTCTTCTTCCAAGCAATTCCCTGCAGGTAGTTGTGTATGTTCATACTTTTAGACCGAGAAGAATTCTTCTGTCTGTATCTGAGACCCATCCTGTTCAGTGGTGAAAGAGGAAACATGCTGTCACAGAAACGTGGAGAACAAACGGCACCATTTCCAGTACTGATCTTACTCATGGATCCAAGAATGACCTAGTTTACTCAGTCTGATGATGACTATATAGTTTTTTCAAGACTTTCTAAGGAGAATAGATGGTGCTTAGTACAACCCAGTCTTAGCCAGCTGCAGCTCTGTTCTGTATTGCCTTAAAGCAGTTGAGTTCCCCCTTCTTGTTAATGAAGCTTGTTTGATTAAAGAACACCAAGAATCTAGGTTCTCAATAGTTTCCTGCCTGAGTCCAGTTTGGAAGCCAACAACAAATACTAAATTCTAGACAAGTACTTCACCTACACAAGAGATTTCTTGCCAATGATAATAAGAGCTGTTTGGGAAAATCAAGACCAAGGTAGCTTTTGTGATAAGGATCCCTACAGTCTGTTTCAATAAAGGTGAAATAATGTTATTCCTTTACCAGCTGGCATAATTATCTAACAGGGCAATTGCCACACCAGTCGAAGATGTCTGTCTTCTGAGACTGATGTGATGCTTAAGAGTATAGGCCATAAATCTGTTTCATGTCTTACCGCCTTTGTGCCACACTTAAAGGCAGTACAACCTTGTTTAAGGAAAGGAAGCTGAATCCTTATCCTAGACTTAAAAGAACTTTGCAACTGCAATTCCAAGTTTAAGATGATCTGGGGGAAGGTTTACCATCTCTGATCTTGGCTGGAAGACTGGCTGGTGTCTTGCCCTTTGGAACATCTCTTTTGACATAATGATGTTTCATTGAAGATTTCCTCCGTGAATCAAAAGTGTTGTTATTCTAGTGCCCTGTCACTTGCATTCTCCCCAGGAGTGACAGCCTTCAGAAGTAGTGGTTACACAGATCACTTCAGATAGAGTGAGATATTGTTCCTTCTCTGATTGGATCACTCTGGTGATCTGACTCCTGCAAACTCTTCAGATGACTCCGCAGTCGAGAGCTTAGGCTTTAGAGAAATGAAAAAAGAAAAAAAAGAATAGTGTCACCTTACCCAGTCTAGTCCTTAGCGTACCTTGGGGGAAATTCGAAGTCTTAATATCTACAAGGGCTCTTCCACCCAGTAGTTCCAGTTTTCAAATGGTGAAAGACTTGTTTGTGTGTTTGGATGCATATCTGTACTCATGCCCGGTTGTCCTAGGTGGTGAACACCTAGGTGATGTCCCCTTCTAGCAAATGCTTTCAGATATGTCTCCACTCGTGCACTTACATGTTTCCAGAGACCTCTTTCACAGAACGAGATGATTCCAATGACAAAATGCACTTGTGTTTGCAGTGGGTGCTCCTTCTGTGTTCCTTCTCTGACTTTTTGTTTATAGTGTCTGTATGTCAGTCAAGGTTTTGCTTGGAAACCTCTGAAGAGCCAGAATCAATAACCCTTGGTGCAAGCGTTTCACATACATGGGTTGGCTTTCAGGGCAGCACAGAATGCATGCAAAGAATCTTATTCTCCAACCCAAGGATATCATTCATGCTTGATGATGGACAGAACTATTGTCTACTCTGTCAACAAGAAGGATGCTGCAATATTTTTTATCTTCTGCTAGGAAAGAATTGATCTGCCTGATGCGTTGAGAAATATTTCGACCAGCAGCTCACCTTCTGTTTTTTCTGAATGCTTCAAGACAGTAGACTGAGTTGTTTTGAGAGGAAGAAGTGGTGTTTGTTGTATTGAAGGCCTCTTACTGGCCACATGGTATCTCAGGATAGGTCCTTTTTTACTTTGGCCATCAACAAGAAATGCACACCGGGAGAGAACAGACCAGTATCTCATGTCCTCCCCATCTCTATCGCACCTTTTCTTTCCCTCTACCACACCCCTTGTCCATCTTCCTAGAAGTGATCTGCCTGTAGACCATGCTAAATCTTATTTCAAAAGAGCATGAGTTTCCCTTGCATCCCAAAACTGTATAGGCATTCCCTTTCCCTACTCATTCCTGCACTGATGGGAGTTGCTTGTCCTTTATACCTGGCATATCAGGAAGGCAGTTTTGTGATACAGTTTAAGATACTTAAGCCACAAAAATAGTGCTAACATCCAGCAGTTCCAAAGGACTCTTCTCTCTGCCCTGACTCTGAAAAGGGTGATCATCTTGTTCCAAAAAGCATGAGGCTGCTCAGGTGGGCACCACCTTTGGTCCTCAGTGCATTCCACCTGAGCTCAAGATGCATCAGAGCACACTGGATAACGGGTTGAGTAGTTACCTGGAGCTGTGCCTATTTTTAAGTTTATACAGTTGTGAAAACACCTAAAAATCACATGGGGTGATATCCATAATTGCTATTTCTGTGAAAGACTTTGGGCCCCTCTTCAGGCGAACTGATGATGTGGAGATGCCACCTAGGTGTCCCCAGCAGGGTGACTTTACTTGTGGACTACAATTTTGAAGGTAAAATGAAAACTTGATGCACCAGTGACTGCTTCCTTGAAATCTATAGCCTACATGTATTTTCACACTTGCTGTCTTTCCTGGAATTGGGCTGTTTGTGTCCTGCTGTGAGAGAGGACTGAAATGACTGTGCTTTTTTGTGTCTGCCTGTACTCCACTCCATGACAGAGAGGGGCCTTAGACACCACACTTTCCATGCCCTGAGTGTAAAAAAAAAATAAAAAAATAATGACCTGAGTGAGTACTGAGTAAAGTCATCCATAAAATCATCATACATAAGGACTGCATTCTGAATGCTTCAAGACAGTAGACTGAGTTGTTTTGAGAGGAAGAAGTGGTGTTTGTTGTATTGAAGGCCTCTTACTGGCCACATGGTATCTCAGGATAGGTCCTTTTTTACTTTGGCCATCAACAAGAAATGCACACCGGGAGAGAACAGACCAGTATCTCATGTCCTCCCCATCTCTATCGCACCTTTTCTTTCCCTCTACCACACCCCTTGTCCATCTTCCTAGAAGTGATCTGCCTGTAGA